GGCCGCGCGCTTGAGCTTCGGCGCTCCGTGACCGCCCCACGCACTTTCCTCACCTCTCCTTTCCCTGCGTTTTTAACCACCACGTTTCTTTCGCCTGGGTTTTCCCAAGCGCTTAAAGCTGTAAGACGTGCCTGGGGAAGGATAATTCGGGAAAGAGACCAGAATAGAGTGGTTTTCTCAAAGCGATAAGAGGTAGTCCAGGAAAACACAGGCAAGTAGCAGTAGCTCAGGGTCTTTACCATGGAGTAGGGAACAGTGTTGTCACAAAGCTGGACACACCAGCACACCGAGCAGATACCGGTTTGCAGACAGAAGTAAGAGCAGCTTCAGGGCCGAGTTCAGCGTTCCCTTACCCCTTAATAATTTCCTGATAACGTTGGGAAGTTCCACAGTTCAGCTCAAGCAGCAGATGTTTAAAGCAGTGTTTAAAAGTATCTCGTAAGTTTTTGGTTAAGAGGATGAAAAGCTCAGATGGCACCAGAAGCTCTCCCTGCCTTTTCAGATAGGGCCATTTAGTAGAACAGCCCCTCAGAGCTCAGTTGCCGGGAACGTGACCTGCGCTTTTACCTACCGATCTGCATCGGGGGCAGGAGAGGGCGAGGAAAGGAGCGTGTCTGCGCGGCCGACCTCGCTGCCAGCTAGAGCAGTTACAATACCCAGACGCAAGGGGTTGTCCAGAGGGAGCGAGCAGCTATCCACCAGTCCTTTGTACCGTATTCCCTGTGCCAGGGGCAGCAGACAAGCCATATCCTGCCTGCGGAGGCTGTGAAGCAGCAAGGGCTGACCACTCCCACCCCGAGAACCGAGGTTTCGTGTTGCAGCCTGGCTCTGCCGCCTCCCAGCCAGCGCAGATGAAGGCAGATTAGGGACTGCTCTGTTCCGGAGCACATTCCAAAGAGCGGGTGTGATGTCTCGTCTCGCAGGGGAGGATACAAGCTTACTGGCTTCCTTTCGCCCCCTATAAAGCAGATTTATCCCAGGGCACCAGATCAGACACGAGCAGCAAAAGGCCCTACTATCATCTGCAGCATTTCAAGGAGAGGAGGGGGGGGAAAAGAAAGCCCAGAGTCCATGTCATTTTTATAATTTCTCCTTTGTTACAACAAACCAGAAATACAAGATTCCATTGAAACTGGAACAGTTCACAGAATGGCTGAACTTAAAACTTCAGGACAGGGGGAGGAGCAGACCCCTTCTCAACTTCCCAAACCAATCTGGGTTAAGTGCACACAGAGTTGGTCTGATTTGTAGACTCAGTTTTGGTTATGCTGAAAGGTAACAGCATTCATTAACAAATGAAATTTGGACCCCGTGTTTTAAAGAGACAGTTCTACCATGATTTTCTTTCACAGGTGTAATTTTATGTTCCTGCTTCCAATTCCTTTAAATAAACATTTGTTCTTTTCCAGATCAGTATACAGAAGCCACTGGTGCCCTCCATTCAAAACATGATACAACAGAAATTCAAACTTTATCTAAAACAAAAACAAAAAAAGAAACAAACCAAAAAAGCCTTCACTCTGAAAGTCCTCTGCACTACTTATTAACAGAATGCTAGCTATCAACAGAGAGGAACTTTTGGTACGAAACAAGAAGCTTGGCAATGTCTACAGGAGCACTACACCTAAAACTTAACTGTTAGTCCTGCTGGGAGGAGTTTTGGTAGGCTTGCTTCAGGAGGGTCAAAACAAAACTGCAGGTGTAGAACTTGACCATTCAGTCACACTAAGGGATAACCCCTATCCCAAAACGTAACCATGAAGTGTAATAGGCACAAACATGTGATCCCACACCTTATATTCAGCACCAATGAGCACTTCACCTAAAGCAGCACAGACTGCGGCATACATGCAGTATTTCCCCTTCAGGGGCACTAAAAGGACCTTAGTAACCAGTGCTGCCTGGTTGGAGCACTGGACACATGCCAGCATTGATGTCAGTGGATTAACTGCAACAGATCTGTCACATCCATGCTTGGAGTAGTTAGGGAAAAAATATAAAAAAAGAAATAATCAGAAGTTTCATACAACACATAGTATCAGAATGTTAGAGGAACACACTAAAGTCTGATCTCTTGGTAGAACAGGGCTGCTCCCTATTCCTGCGGGTCCTTCCAGCATGAATCAGGGTTTCCATTTTTAGCTTATGGGTATTGACATACACACTAACTCTGACAACAGTCTCTGAGAACAACCTTCAGTCATTTGTTTCTGGGTCTGTCTGAGCCATGTAAGCATCCAGCTCCGCATCGAGGTGTCCTTTTGTTTTAGACATATAAGCATCTAATTGGTTGTCCAGCTGCTCCTTGGTCAACGCAGGACGTGCTGATCCTCTTCCTCGTCCTCTGCCTCTGCCACGACCTCCAAAGCCCCCTCTTCCCCGGCCTGCCATGCCACGACCTTACAGTGAGACAAGATGACAGTTATATACTACATCACACAGAGCCTCAGGGTCTGGCACAGCTATATTTCTCCAGAAGAGCTACAGCGGTCGCTCCTCAGCGCCTAGACAACACCGCGTACTCGTAAGTGCTGCTTCAGCGTCTCTAAACAAAAGTCACATGCAGCAATACTTAGAAGCTACCCTACAGCCTGCCTCCAACACCTGGGCCAGTGCAGTTTTTGCCGAGTTAAAGTTGCTCTCCAGGCTGCTTCTGTTTCAATCTAGAAACACAAATGGACATTTGATCCACAACTATCTGCTCTGCTCTCAGCTCATGCTACCATCTCATCTGCTTGTTTTCCATTTCCTCCTACACTCTGCATGCTTTTTCCTTCCAGGCACCTCGTGATCCAATGCCTTCAGACCCGTGGGACAGGTACAAGTTTTTGGCAAAGCGGCAATGCTATCGACTATGACAAGCAAACTTTTACTACAGGCAAATACCTCAAATCTAGAGCCAGTTCCTACTTCTGAAGTAGGATAGCAAGAGACCACATTGAGGAGTATTCATTCATCAGGCTAGTAAATGCAACTAAAGCTGCAAACCAAAACTGTCAAGGGAGAGGCAGGTTCCTGAAGATTGTTTGCTGCAACTCCTAGAAACATTTAGCCAGAGTCACATGACTTTTGCTTAACAGAAAGCGCATTTGGCTAATGTTCTAAACAAACATCTGTGCAAAGCATTAACAAGCCTAGCATCAACAGCTGTCTCCTGTACTTCCTCCTGTACACCCAGCTTACTCTGATCCTTTCTGTGTTGTGGTTGATAGGAAAGAGTTTATTTACCCAAGACTTGATTCAGTTTCAGACTTCCCATTTAAGTTCGTTGATATGAAGCATCACTGAGGAAGCTGCTCACCAGCCTGTAGGGGTTCAGGTTTTCTCCTCTTAATAGTTTTCCCCATCACTCACTAGTTACTTTAAAAGCCTTATGGCTTTACATAAGCTAGACGACATTTACTCTTTCAAATGTGAAAGGACAACGCAGTCGTCTTCATGAAAATACTTTTTGCCTCTACTACTATTTAAAGCATCACACAGCTACAGTGCTATCTGCAGGCATGGACAACTTCAGTGATACTCCTCAAAACCCCTCTGGCAACAGTGAAACAGTCAAGGATCTCATTTAGGCACAAGACTTGCTAAAATGTTTCAGAAAAGGAAGCCTTCCTTTAGTACTACACTGTACAGCGCTTCAAGAATGGAGGAGTTTTAAGTTTACATGCATGTACTTACATATGCCCTCCTGAAACATGAAAATAAGAATGAAAACTTATTACCACTTACTCAGCAACAATGTCCCCGCTCCTTTAGTTTGTGCACACTAACCTCTGCCACCGAGTCCTCCACGGCCCATGGCTCCTCTGCCCAGACCACCTCTTCCAGGGCCACCACGACCTCTAATGCCACCTCTTCTCAGGCCCATCCTTGGGGATATACCACGTCCTCCCCGAAGCAGGCTCTGACCTTCAACAGAGTAAGGGAACTCAAGTCAGGCAAAGAAATTAGTTTTAACACCGAGCAAGACGTTATACTAAGCAGTGCTTCAGAGGCAACAGAACCAGAGTCAAGCAGTTGAAAAAAGACGACAGACAGTATTAGGTATTACTGTCTGACACATGAGCAACTAAAATTCAGCTACTGTGCTGACCTCTACAGTACTGACCTCTGAGTGGGATTCCTCCTCTCAGTAGGGCTCTTGCTCCACGCCCACCACGCATGGCTCCTCGGGGCAAGCCTCTCTGCCCCATAGATATTCCTCTTCCTCCCATGGCTCCACGAGCAAGCGGTCCTGCTGGCCGGCCTAATCGTGCCTGAATGTTACTTTTACCGAGGCGCTGCTTTAAGCTCTTCTGGAATAGAAGATTTTTAAGGAACAGGAAAGTCATGCAGCAATCTCAGACTTATAATGTAAACAGCATAGCAAGAAGTATCACAGATCAGCAATAAGCCTGGGCGCATGTATAAACACAGGGTCACCACCTCTCCACAATATACTCAAGCCTCAAAAGGAAGACAGTCAAACTCGCTTAGGGAGGGATAATTTGTGGAGGTCAGAGAACAAAGACCTTTCCTGGAAGCAAGCATTTGCATGGAGACAAGAAGTTGCAACTTAAAAGGAAGTATTTCTCTCCATTTTTAGCAGTGCTACTCAGTCCACATCAAAGCAGACACTTAATCCATAAGGCAGCCCAATAATCCTTTTTACTGGAAGGCTATAGTATCAGTGATTAGTTCACGTAAACTCCCGAGACAGAAAGTAACTACCACCCCTACTGCAGAACAAGCCGAACCTACCTCTCCAGAGGAAGTGACATCTGTGCAGCCACATGCCGTGAACGCCACCCCCAGTGACCTATTGCCGCAATCCTTTCCTGGCTAGGCTTCCACAAAGACTAATGGACAGCTAGGAACCGCATGAACTGTCCCACGTTTTAAAGAGAAAACTCTACACAAGAGAAAGTCATCCTCACCAAAGCAACAGCATAATGATCTTTGCTTCTACAGCTTTTACGGCGGAGTTTATTGCGTCCTGTACGTCCAGCCACCACAGGCTCCGTTGCACAGGTAGAGCTGGCTTACCTTGGGACAGTGTAGCTGCTCCTGTAATCAACTGCCTGAACCAGAACTGCTGCAGGGATACCTCAACTGCCAATTTAAATCTCGGCATGTTAACATACACTGGTACCACCCATCTGGTCTGTCTTTTTATGGCAGGCTATTTTTTCTGTTAGAAGCACGCGGGAACCTTTACGATTGTCTCCAGAACAAGAGCCCTTGGTTCAAAGAAGTTAAGGCAAAGAAGATCAGTCTTTGACCACAGGTTCCAAGACTCACTTAAACTGACTGCGTTGGACAGCTTTACAAGCCTAGCTGACTCAAGTCTGTGGACAGCTGAACTGCTTCCTCCAAGAGCAGTATCTTCTGTAGCTGTAATAAGATTTCAGTTCACTGCCTCGGAGCTTAGACGTTCATTCACTTTTCCAACAGCTGCAGCAGTCTAAGATGTCAGCATCTCTTTTGCCCGGCTTAGCTGTCAGGACGGAACTGGAAAGTACGCGTATGTTCCAGATCCAGTTCTTAGTTTACATCACTTACCATAGCAGTTTAAGATAAGCTGCTGGACTCTGCACTGAAAGAGCATAAGAGCGCTTGCCTTTCTGCTCTACTAGAGGTGCAGAGAGCGGTAGCATCTTGGTCTGCCCCAGCTAATAAGTAAACGCCATGTCTAGAACCACAGTAAGTATAAAAGCTTTTAGATAAAAAACCACAGCAGGCCTATTTCAACAAATACGCACACAGATGTGCATGATGCAGAACATAAACCCACGATGCTAGCACAAGCAGTGCTCCACAGCAGTTTGAAGAAGTACTTTTCTGAAGCACAGGTGGCCCATCATTGAAATCAACGCTCCCCTATGCTTCTGCATGTACCACACCCAAAGGCACCAAAAAAGCTCCCGGTGATACCAAGTATATTACTTGTAGAAAAACAAATCGCGCACCACATCAACTTCCAAAGCACCTTGCAATCTTCAAGGAACAACCCAGCATTAACTGGATTTCCAGATTTCCCCACAAAGCCCTTCCATAGCCCTCCCTTGCAAACGGGTAGAAGTCGGGGCAGCGTTTAATCCTAGAAGATCACGACAATACATCCACGCCAGATGTACAAATGAAACAGGTAGCAGAGCTAAGCCAAAAGATTAGTTCTTTCCTGTTCTTCCATGGCACCTCAATTTAGCAAGCAGTCACTTTACATTATAAATCCAGTTTCACTTACTACCTGCGACATTCTTAAGGTTTCAATAGATTTTCTTTTTTAAAGAGAAAAGCGTTTAGACTATCCATTTACACAGCTTTTGTTTACAAGCTCTCTAAGGATAACTGGCACCACTCTCTGGTTTTCCAACGCAAGTCTCAAAAGATCTCAGAATGCAGTTACGTTCCTCTTTATCACAGAGTGGGTCCCCAACGCTAGCACGTGTGGCCAACTTCAGTATTCCAGCTATTTGATGAAGCTTCTCAACTAAGAACCTTCCAGGGCTTTCTCCTGGGTGTGCTAGATAACGCAGAGAATTGTATTTACCTACTACTGTAGTCAAGTCATGCAGTGCTGCCATTTAAACGCCGTACACAGCTGTGTACCACTCCCCTGCAGGTTTCCATTTGCACCTTACACATACATTTTCAGCTAATCTTTCCAGCTTCTCCATTTAAACAGAAGCTTTACAACGGGCAACAATCCTTTTAGTCTCACAATGAACAAACTCTAGTAACACTGAATAGCTGTCTCTTCTGCACATTATTTTTTGATTTCTGCTGCAGCACAGTTCTGCCCACCTCAACGCTCTCCCCGCTACCTTCCCTAAGTGCAGAGCTACGGTTAAGCACATCGCGTACTGCAGAGAAATCAAAGGCTTTGTTCTACAGACAAAAGCCAATTTGAGGACCACACAGTAACCTGCAGCGCTAATCACCAAAATGTGAAATGATAAAACACTTTTATATAAGGAGAACGTTACTCTATTCCTTAAGCGAGTCCTGAATTCTAGTATGTGCATGCAATCAAAATGAGAGTTTGTTCATCTGGTCCTTGCAGCCAGCTGTTATCAAGGGAGTGCACCAAGAGAGGGGGGTGTTGGGGATAGGACTATCCAGTCGAGGCTGGTTGCTAAGTACTGGAAACAACCTGCAGCAATTTTAACTGCAGCTAGATTGAGAGATGAAGCACTCAGCAGATCCAGAAACCCAGAATGAGAACCTTTCTCTGAAAAAATAGAGAGGAGATATGAACAGCCAGCACAAAAATTATTAACTCAGTAATATTAACCAATAAGTTACAAAGCATTACTTAAGTGAAACAAAAATGGGATTTTCAGTTAGCCCCTTCTATGCCTCTCATCTTTAACTTTCGGGGACATTTTTCAAAATCCATCGTATCCTGAAAAGCCATCAGCTGGCGACAGGCATCATCAACTGGCTGCACTAGAATATCATACTTTCTCTCACCTGTTTAAGTTTCAAAGCAGCCTGGACAGAAGGTCTATTCTCCATCTGCTGGGCCAGTCTTCTGTTTCTGGCACTGGCTAGCTGCTGCTGCTGCTGCATGGTAGCTCGAATATTCACTGGCATCGGCTGTTTGTTCTTCAGCATGTTAGTAAAGCTTCAAGGTCGAATAAAATGGGTGTTTAAATAAAGCTTTATTACACACATTTATTGGCATTTCATGGTTCTCAAGATTGGATCTCCAGATCCCATGAACCTTATGTAAAGAGTGGTACTTAGGTCACGTCATATGTGAGTTACGTATTCCTTGTTTTCCACAAATGTGCAAGAACTGGAAACTTAGAAATGATGTTGTGTATTAATTCAGAAGTGGTAAAGGTTTAGTTTACCGATTTTAGAAATGGAAGAAGGAATGAAAACAAGCAATAAGCAGAGATGACCATGACAGATGGAAGAGGACATTGCACAGAAGTAGAAAAGCCAACTGAAATCTGACTGCAAAAGCCAAAATAACCTCACGGAGTTGAGAAAATTCTCTAAAGACTCAACCCCAGAAGATAGCTTTATAAAAGACTTTGCCCTGAGAACAGACTGGTATGCCTCCAGCACACCACAGAAACGGTGCCACAAGAAACACCACCATCTGAGTGTAGTCATTTATAGAAAACGGTTTATCTAGCACTTTCCTTGACGCATGAGGAACCTTCTGCCTTTAAGAGCTATATGGCCTAGAACATACAACAAGATGGTAAGCTTCCTTAGCAGCAACCCATCAGCTTTCTACTGTGTCCTAGGAGTTACCAGGACAGCAAAATAAAGCACTACAGAATGAGTAGTATGGACTGACCAAACAGCAACAGGCCAGCAAGCATTCACTGCACCTCACTATTCCTCTTCTCCAGGAGGCAAGCCAAGCACTGGTTCAGACTAAGTCTCGCTGCAGCACTTGCTGGAACAGGAACTGCATACAAATGGTTCATTTCTCCCTGGCCTAATGCTATTAACGTGGTTAATCCAAGAGCGATTAGCAAGAAGGTGAAACATAACTGAAGCATTGCTGTTAGTTGTCACTGCAGAACCACAAAAGCGTAATGGCATGGAAAAGCAGGAGGATATTCAGCAGAAGAAATAAAGAACTCAGCACCAAGAAAAGAGAGAGATAGAGATGGAGATGGAGCAAAGCATACCCCTCTTACAAGGCCCAAAACGTTGTTAAAGGGCCTTTGGGCTTGTTTAATGGCCTGCTGCCTGCCTCTTACAGGCCAGACCACATGCACGTGTGTCTGCCTTGGACAAAGCAGCAAGCCTACTGCAGCTTAGGTAACATGCTACCATGCTGCAGTGTCAACTATATAAATGTAAAAACATGTGGAAGAAAAAGGGAGGGTGCGAGGTTTCTCTTTTTTGTCATAACACATCCCACCATACTTATGTGTTGAATAGTTTAATTTTAACTGCTACGGATAAATTTCTCCAGAATAATTGCCCTTTTAACCTTGTGTACCACATTTGTTGCAGTTTAAGACAGAGGTGCATAGCCATCTGCTTGTTATAGCGAGGTTAAAACAGGGCAGAAACCACGTTGGTTTTTGGAAACCAGACAGTGATAATTAAGTAAAAAATTTCTTATGAGCTGAAGCTGCTGTTGGCTTCCTCACCGCTCGTTCAGAGACATCTTGGTGGTGCTCTTTAGCACAACCTTCGGTGCTGACTGTGCAGCCATCTTCAGATCAAGAGAATCTGCAAAACATGAGAGCCTGATTTAAAAAACAGCAGGAGAACTCGCGTTTACGTGGTTAAACATTCAGAAACCTGCATTCCATTCCAGATCCTTTTGTGGAGAGAGCCAAGAACTTGGCAAAAAACACTCTATCTCAAGTTTCCTAGGCCATTGTCATGATGCAGTAAATTTATTAAGCTAGCAAGTTATGCTGGCTCATCCCTTACTAAATAGTCTTCTTTTCAGAAAGGGAAGATTTGCCATTGGTAGGAGTAATGCTGCAGAAACATAGTCCATCAGCAGCCAGGACGGCACCCAAACATCTTGTTTGGTACTGCACCTAGTGACACTTCTACAGCTTCTAAGCAGTTAGTATCAATAAAACAGAAAATGGGGTTTCCATCTTAGAGAGGCATACCACACACTCGGTAATACCAAAAAAAAAAACCCACACACCCCAAAGCTTATTCAAAGACTGCTTTTTCCTACAGAAGACCTACATACTTTCAAAATATTAAGGTCACATTCCCTCTTACTACCCTAGGATTGCCACAGCTGGGCTGCACAGGGGTAACCTATATATGTTTGCGCAGTTACTTCAGCTTTCGAGTATGTGATACTCTAACAGGCAGCTCACCAGCACTCACAACACGGCTCTCTAATATGAAACCTCATCACATTGCTCATGAGAGCAGCTAAAGGGATTTAAACCCAGCTGTTATTATCTTTGGATCACAGCTCAGGCCTGAGAGCAGTGATGACTACAACTTGAAACGCTAAGGAACACAGCTCAGCCCGCTAACCGTTCGGATCAGTGCCTCATTTTTATGATTAATAACGTATCTAGCGCTTAGGTGACTGGCAAAAGCACTTATCCTCAAGCTACTAGCAACAAATAAGATTTTTACGATGTTCTACAGCCCGCTCAGCTAGAAACGGAGCTAATAATCCGCTGCAGCACTTCCCCCACACCGGGGAGGGGGGGAAAGGTGGTTTCAAAACAGCCTTTTTCCCCCTGCCCACGCAAACTGCACAGAGCAGCTGGCGGGGAACGGCGCTGACAGGAACCCACCGAGCACCGGGCCCGGGGAGC